AAGGCGAACGTTTACGGTCATTGATTACGATTAACGTAATACACCGTAAAACGTCGTATATGTCTGTCGTAAACGGCCACTGTAAGTAGCTACCGTTTACGATATTTCACGACATTATCCGAGAATCGTTCACTTTCTCCGTATTTTTACGGTAGTCGTAAAAGGCGAAAGTTTACGGTCAGTGTTTACGATTAACGTAATACGCCGTAAAACGTCGTATATGACTGCCGCAAACGGCCACTGTAAACGAATGCCGCTTTTCAACGTAAATGATTGGTGTACGGCCGTTTACGGCCGGGCAGGAACGACCTGGGTATCATTTCGATACAGCACAATTTGCTCTACAATATTTATTAATCAGTTTTATCCACACATTTCATTTCAAAGGCAATAGTTGTTGAAAACATCTATAAATAAGTGTTATGAGGCATAATTAATAGAGATTTTTAAAAGCAAGAAAAAAATAGGCGAAAAATAGGGGAAATTTAATATTTCCACCACTTATTCCAGTTCAATTGAGTCTAAATATCATTGTAAATGAAAAAAAACACATTCTTTATCATATATTTTAATAGCTTTTTTTAAAACTTCAGCCAAATCATTGTCGTGCATCGATTATATTTTGATCGAGTGTTATTCAATTTAAAAAAGCACCTAATCTTATTCCATGTTATCATGCTTACATGAAAATGATCAATCAGAAAAATATATTTGTCAAGCATTTTGGTTAGAAGCATTAATTATGTTTATTGAAAAACAGATGGAGATAAAATGTGATAAATAATATGGAGGAATTTCTCTACGACTCATCGCACTCGATTTAGTAAGACGATTTGTTTCTTCTTTCAATTGAAATTTTAAAAAAAACACGATAGTTTTAGATTTTTGTGATATATCACCGGATAATTTTATTATCCCATTTGAAACAATTAAATTGAAAAAACTTCATTGGACAAGGTATATTTGGTACTGTTTTTTGCTGCTGCATCATACAAAATAAAATTTACAGCGAACTTTTATTTTTATAAAATATATTTATCTAGTCGAATATGGATCTTGCTTGTAAAGCTTTTGTACCAATTGATTCTTCGATTACAAATGGTCTTATTGAGCAAGCACATCGACGAGCTAAAGATGAAGAAAGTGAAAACAAAATATCTTTAGTAGCTATTTGTAAAATTGACAGAAATTGAATGTTATTAGTGGGATTTTAGTGGGATATTGCAAAAGAATGGATGTGTAATCCAATGCGTGCTGTTGCTAAAGCTTATATAATATGTCGACAAGAACTTTCAGCTCTTTTAACAATTGGTTCACATCCAAATATAGTTCCAATTGTTGACTTAAGTATATACGCCCATTAAGTTTAATGTTACATTATGCTCCTATGGGATCACTGGAATCAATATTGAAAGAATATAAACGATCAAATACCCAATTTGGATTAACTATCTATCAAAAATAATTATTGAAGTAATATTTATTTTAAAATCATTATTAGGGTTTTTCTTCATTGAGAGAATTTGATTCATTGAGATTGCTAGTGCTCTTGTATATTTACATAATAATCATATAATTTATCTTGATCTTACTTAGGGCATACCAAAAGTAAAGTTTTTTGAGGATAAAACTGTTCAAGATAGAGCTAATCAAGTTTTTATTTCATCA